GGAATTTTCTATAACCTCTTGGTTTAGCTCTGCAGACTGCACAGCCTAAGGCCCCTTTCACAAGTGCTGGTCAGGGGAGGATCCTCTACTGATCACAGGAGTATGGAGCGGATGTCACCGCTGTGACTCCACCTGTCCTCCACCTCACGATGGAGGAAAAAAAACGATAACTGCCAGACCCCATGTTGGTCTATTGGAAATCTAATGTAAAAGGTTGTGTCCGTTTACATAAGATTACCCCGAATCCAGAATGATCTGGTCCGGCAAAACGTATCTCTGATCTGTCACAACACGCGTCAGCAAATGTAGTGCATGTAAACATGTGCATAGTTGTGAAGATGCTTTACAGCGTGGGAAAGGAAGGTAGGGGCGTGGAAAACCACACACTTCCTATAGTCCATGTTGGCTCCACTCTTATCCAGTGTGGTTACACATGATGAAATGTTAAATACCACATGTTACCATAACACATAGCAAGCACGGTATTTAGAATTATTGCCACCCCAACTTACAAGTACAGTAGGTGCCAATGAACGGACACCGCACCACACCACACCACGACGCTACATGTTAACAGGTGGAATACTAAATGTTAGCATATGTGCAGTAACATAGGGCAAGGGAAAAGCCCTGTGTATGTCACCGTACAGCTGAAATAAATGCTACAGAAAGAGCATCAATTGTTTAAAAATGTAACATAAATACTTCTGGTATAAACTGACAGTAAAAAGGAAGCAAAAACACTATGGGGGAATTGCTGTATCGGCAGAAAAATGGCACTTTCAGCATTTAGACAAAAGTGCCATTTTGGGCCGATATATATGTTTTGGCGGCCGATATATCGGTGCATCTCCCTAATATTTACAGCAATGCACAATGGCACAGGCTATAGAGGACTACACATCCCAGCAATACTTTATATAACAATAGCAATTCTGTATAAAGTACTGCTGAGATTTGTAGTCCTCTATAGAGGGTGCCATTCTGCATTGCTTCAACACCTGATCCCTGGAACGACCGACAAGTGCAGACTCCCGTCTCTCACGCTGTCAGAATATGCATACAGAGCATGTCGGTAACTATTCAAACCGGCACGCTGTGTGCAGCTTCTGAGAAGATACGCTACTAGCGTAGCGGGGAAGCCGGCTGCGCCTTTTGCATCACTCCCGCTACGCTAATAGCGTATCTTCTCAGAAGCTGCACACAGCGCGCCGGTTACCGACACGCTCTGTATGCATATTCTGACAGCGTGAGAGGCGGGACGCTGCACTTGTCGGTGGATCGGATCTGGTGAGTATTAAAAAAAAAAAGAATGTTTTATTTTATGTTCCCGGGAAATTTAAAAATGTCCCGGGAACATAAAAATAATAAATGTCCCGCGATTTTATTTAAAACATTTCACCATACCTTAGCCTGGTGGTCAGTGGGACTCCCTGGACCCTGGTTGTGGGGGGTCTGTTGTGGCCGCAGCTGCTTCATCCCTCTGCCGCCTTTCTGCCATCTGCACATCTGACACTCCCGGCCAGTGGCGTACAGAGGGGGGGGCCGTCTGCCCCGGGCGCAGCTCCTGTCAGCCCGCCCGCATTAGACCTGGCTCTCTAATCGGCCGCCGCTCGCTCCTGAAGTGGATCCTCTGGAGGCCCCCACGGGCGGCCCTCTTCAGTGCCTGTTTAGAGGGCCACGTCTGCCTGATCCAGCTAGTATGCGATTAGGGCTGGCTGGATAAGGCACTGATTAGAGAGCCGGGTCTGATGCGGGCGGGCTGATAGGAGCTGCGGTGACGGCCGCACGGTCAGTTCGCCCCAGGCCCCCCCTCACTACGCCACTAGCCAAGAGTGTCGGCACAGAGACTGGGGGCCCGCTGGCCGCTGGATACCGATCCGGTGCTATCCGGTGGCCAGCAACTGTGTTTGGCCCCCCCAGGCTGAGGCCCCGGTGCGGCCACACCTGCTGCACCGGCGGTAGTTCCGCCACTGGTTAGGTCTAATATCTCTGTTTAATACCTTGAGGGGAGTTTATCTAAGACTGGAGCAGACAGAACCTGGAGCAGTTGCCCATAGTAACCAATCAGCTTTTCTCTTAAGTGAAAGAGAGAACCTGATTAGTTGCCATAGACAACGTCTTCACATTCTGTCTGCTTCAGTTTTGATAATTTCCCCTCCATGCCATCTAATTCTGATACTTACAACATAACTGCAAATATTTCTGCCAGTAATTCTCTGTAGTGCCTTGAAATGAAGAACATTCCAATGTGAATATTTATTATAAGCAATCTAAGCCCTCTAACGATGTAATTGCATGCTTCTGTATACTGCCTGCATACACAATTACATATCACTAACCTCTGACGGTTTTGATAATAAAAAGGGATTCCTCCCTGTGTGCACCCCAGTACTCCTTCCTGGCTATTACGCAGACAATCATTCAAACAATGCGAGTCTCACAAAGTCCATTTCATTTCCTGAGCAATGCTTTCACTATCTTAAAGCGGAGGCTGACCCAAAACAAAAAAATTGTGTTTCCCAGGTGCTTTTAGCCATAAGTTCCAGAATGAACAGCATATTAGCTCATTATCACAGATTTGCCTATCAAAGTGATCCCCTCCAGCAATATGATGTCAGCACTCTCCGCCAGTGCTTCCACCTTTTCCCAGTCTTCTTGCAGATTTAGGGTCTTTGGCCGATTGATTGGTTCAGGCACGCATGGCATAATTGTCACACACGCGCACAGGAGTTACTTTCTCCTGACACAGAAGCGCGGTGAGACTGTACACTAAAATGCGCATGTGCGGCTCAGTGTATTCCTACAAAAAAAAAGTGTTGACAGAAACCTCTATGACAGATAATAAAAGCGCATGCCAGTCTGCACTTTTTACAAAAATGACTTTACTTCGACTTTAAGCAATGATGACAGCCATGACACAAGAACCTGGCAAAAAGACTCAGTCACGAGGGATGGACCCTTTTCAATTTAGGATTCATTGTCATGTGCCATATCATTCGTAAAATTCTTATAATGACAGTGGCCTTCCTTGGCTATCTCTATGGTAAATAGGAGCAAACAAGGTGCATTTGCTGCCAGGGCTTACTCAAGTGACCTTGAGTACACCTAGGTAGATCTATAGAATGTCTTAGCTGTTACATGCAGAAAATTTACAACTATTTTGCATGTTATGCGCGATAAAATTATTAGTCAGGGATTTAATATACAGCTTTTTGAATGGTGCTGGGGTAGGCAACCTCTAGCTGCGATGACACTACAAATCTTATAATGCTTCTGCCTCTGGGAGTCAAACCTGTGACATTCAGCATTTTGCCATGCCTCATGGGATTTGTAGTTTGACCACAGCTGGAATGCCAAGGTTGCCTACCCCTGCAATAGGGTAACACATGATTACAGACTATATATGCCGTTTTTAAGAAAATACATGTCCTTAATAGCTGCACAGCTGCACATTTTGACATGATAAAAATGATCAAATATATTGTCAAATTGATAATACCACAATATAAAGCCTAATGAATTGCTCTCATATTGCAGTTTGATTTTGGCCGGAGTTTTGCTTTAACATAGTAATTCCCAGCACATTCCAATGGTGCCCATTCACACCTGAGCACTGTGCTGCTGCTTGTCATGAAATTGTAGTCCATCACGGGAGCGAGTTTGGAGCGGTGACTACTTTATAACACACACAGGGACCATGGGGAAAAAAGTAGCCACCCTCCAGAAGGAAGGACAGTGTCAGCTGACTGATACACAAATAAGATACAGTATTTTTTAATAGTTAAGGTACTTGAATGCATTTTTTAAACTTAAATCCTAAGTTTAGTGTCACTTTAAATCTGATTAAAATGTTGGCGACTCAAAGAATGTCTACATCTTACGCAATGTGTAATTATTGAATGTAAGATCTCCACAGTGGTTTTGTTATTTTCTTGTAAAACCTTGTTCAATAAAAAAGATTGAATTTAAAATGTTGGCGACATGTAATGGTGGGTATTCATAAAACAATCCATCCCTAACAATATTTTTTAATTTTCTCAAAACCATTACAGTGCATCCTTTATATGCGGGGTTGGGGGTTGGAAGGGGGGAATTTATGAAAACAGGAGTAGCTAAAATCTAGAGCAGTTGCCGATAGTAACCAATCAGCTTCTCTTTTTCATTTTCAAAGCCTAACTGAGCAAAGTGAAGAGAGAAGCTGATTGGTTACTCTGGGCAGCTGCTCCAGATTCTGTCAGTTCAATGATAAATTCCCCACAGAGTTCTTTCCTGCCTTTGGGAATAATGTTTTACCTTATAGCTATACAGAAAGGTGGATTTCAAAATGTTTTTTTTTTCATTAATTACTTTCACAGTGAAAGGTATTTTTCAGAAACATGTCTATGTGTATACAGTTACAGGCTTATTCAACAAACTAGTGCAATCAGGATGTGTGCACTGCTGAACCACTTATTTATGCCATACCAGAGCGAGAATTCTGATTGGCTGTTGTGGTTCCCTGCATGCTACATGTTGGTCTTTACCTCATTAAATAAGTCACCAAGTCACAGTTACCTATGACTCTAACATGTATTTTTATGCCGTTCTGGTACTTATTTCAGCATGTTACCAACTAATTGCCTTTATTTAGACACCCTACCATGCTTACATATGTGTGCAGATTGCTTCTTACAATCAGAACAATGACATATCTGTTGAAGTGGACTGTGACCATGACAACTATAAAGCTCTGTTCACAGCTACGCTTTTCTTGAGAGATCAAGCTGTGAATGAATGCACAATGTGTTAAGGATGATGTGTCACCGTCATCGTCTTCACCGTTATTCATTCTTCAAAATTCCCCATATGATCATAACTTTACATATAAAAGCTTTTTTCCATCAAAATATATCCCGTCATAATTTTGCAAGAAGTCCACATGCCCAACAATTTTGTTTTTATCTGAAATCAACAAAATATATTCCTTTAACTTATCAGCTAATCAAAGATTTACTCACCATTGCAGGTGGTCTGTCCGTTACCCAAATGACGATAACCTTCTTGACAATCCCATTGCTGTATCCCTTGGGTGCGAAGGAAAGCAGTAAAAAGGAATAATGGCCAAAAAACAGTTAATAGAAGGAACATAATCTCCTCTTCTTGTGCTTGCTGTCCATAGGCTACATGTCACTTGTCTTTCACCCCATGCAGCTGTGTGCATGAAGGACGCTCTGCTTCTTCCACGCAGCCCTTCATAGTCAACAACATTTTCTCAGCAATGCCAGATTTGTGTTTTTCTCCTTTTGTATTTACTTCAACAATGCGGTGACCCCTCTCCGTATACAAGCCTCCTAATTAGTTATGCCTCTTGATTTTTTTTTTCTTTTCGAAGCAAAGTATGAAATGCCAGGCACCCTAGTGACGAATGTAACATGTCCAGCAAATACGGTCTGGAAGGATTTCTTTCAGTGTCGGAGCAAACTGCTATGTGATAACCTTCCAGTTCATGGTGTGCAGTCTTCTATACCAGGGTCTGTCTTTCACCAAATGCTGCCCCCTTTAAAATGCTTCTTCGCCACTCCTCCTGTCCTCGTAGTGCCAGCGGAGTGGAGCCCGTCTTTAGTTTATTCCATGCTGGGAATGAAAGAATCCAGACTTAGAACAAACACACAAGCACTCATGACTCTTTCATAATGTGGGGAGGTATGTAGAGAGGTATCATGGATTTTGTTTTGATGACTGTGGCAATCTATAACAAGTCTGAGATTAGAGAATAAGTACATTCAATGTGCTTGAAACTCATATGAGTGCTCTTGTATTCAAAAATGAGACAGGTGACTCATCTTAACTAGTGTAGTCTGACTTATGCTTTAAAATATGAATAATTGAAAATCAATATGAACGGAAACAAAAATGACTCATATAGAAGTTCATCATATCTACAGTAAACAGCACAGACATTTGTCTCTTCACATACAGTACTCATGAAGTTACTGAAAAATACCCTTCTCAGCAAATCTTTCATAAACAAAACAAAGGCATCCTGTATGATATTTGGGATGTGATTTACCAAAGGATTTACTATTACAGCAACTTTAGGAAACAATATTTACTGCAAACAACCATACAGATTAAGATGAGGGAGATTCACTACTAGGTAGGAGTCATTTTTACATCTGGATACTGTAGTGGATGCTAAAAGCAATCAAAAGGTGTCACATTTCCTAATTCTTAACCAAATTTATAAAAACAGTATGGTGTCTTTAAGGCACACACATGTGCAGTAATGGTTAAAAATTAATCTTAATCAGTTTAAAACAGTGTACGCCAAAATCAATAATTTCATAATATAACTCCTCGTTTAACAATGTATACAAATATTAGAAGTCATCATGGAAACAAGGACACCACGCCCCTAAATGAAATACTATATCTACACAAAAAAATGAATGGGGCTTTTAAGGTGACAACTGGTGAATGCAGAGGGATAACACTGAGCAGCATATCACATGCAGATAAAACATATCCATTCATTTATGATTAAGAACAATATTATATGTGTACTACATAAAACCTCCCTGGAACCAGTACAGATATACAATATACATATTCCATAAGATCCATTATTTTATCATCACTTTCCTTATAAACAATTTCTTCAAACAATTTATACATGATCATATTAGTCAGTAAATCTGTACTTTGTCCAGACTTCTACGCGTTTTGCCAGGGCTTCATCCGGAAGTTTTTTAGAGGTAACCTACAGTATTTACATGGATTGAGATAATAAGCAAACATATACACATCTACCATTATTCTTAATTATAAATGAATGGATGTGTTTTATCTGTATGTCGATAATACATTAACTATATTGATATTTTACTAAAAACACATGATCTATGTGATATTTTGTTCAGTGTTATCCCTCTGCATTCACCAGTTGTCACCTTAAAAGCCCCATTCATTTTTTTGTGTAGATATGACTCCTCGTATACACAATGAGAAAAGTGGTGGATCGCTTTTTAGAGGGCGGTGAAGCAGTGGCTGCAGTGGAGCAGAGCAGATTCTTTAATCCCAATGGGATTTTATTTTCTATTGAAGCACCACGCCACAACCATCCCATTCATTTTGCATTTTAAAAGTGGCACCGCCTGTCAAACACAACATGCTCTTGATTTTTTGCAGTAACGCAAAGCAATGTGTACAGTACTGTACAGCCTTAGTGCTGACATTGTAGTGGGCAGTTGGGAGGAGGTAAAACCGCACATCAACCGCTCAGACTTACTGCCCTCTCAAAACCTTTTCACCACCCATGTGAACAAGGCCTAATAAATAACAATGATGTTCTACATATCTCAATACTGTGGGGAAGGCAATGACTAAAAAGGTCTGTGCATTTTGTGAACAAGGTTCACTTCCTCATAAATGAGGTGGGCATCTATAATTCATAAGTATAAAATTTGACATTTCCAGTCTACATAATATATAAAAATCCAGAGTATATGAAACCAGTAACAATATGTGTGCAATCCTGGAGTCCCCTGTGGTCAAAAGTGCTTTGGTGGTTCTAAACATAAGTTTGTTGGTTTTAATATACTCTGGAATTTGATAATAATATTCATGTAAGTCAGTACTATATGAACAAAGGTGATCATTATAAAGTAGACTGGAAATATTAATATTCATACTTATTCTTTCTAGATATGCACCACATTCCTGAGGAAGTGAGCGTTGCTCGTGAAACACATAGTGCAGAGCCAAGCTTCAGCACGGAAGGACCCCAACAATAATGTTGGGATCCACCCCGCTGCCTCTCCAGAGCCAGTTCTACCTGCCCCCTCCCCTGCCTGTCCTTCCAATGAGCGCTGGAGGAGCAAAGAGGGGAGGAGGGACTCCCTGTGGGGAGCAGTGACTGGCAGTCAATGCTCTTTGAATGGAGAAGTTACATGAATGTTCAGCTCTTGGTATATACTGTAGAGCCAGCATGAGATAGCTGCAGTGTGCCATGCCGGCTTTAAGTAATGGAATACATTTTACTCTCCCAATACTTCGCCTTTAAGATATGTGGAACATGATTGTCATCTCTTATACTATGACATTATTGAATGTGTAGTTTTGGGTTTGAGGCTGAGGTGGAATAATGGACTGAATTCATATGGTGCTTTATTTTGCATACAAGCACTTAGAGCTGCATTAGCTCATCTCTTAGTTCTTGCTGTGTTCTCTCCTAGAATACCAGTCCTATGCCACTCGATCCTCAATCTCCATTCTGCCCATGGTCTGCATTATAAAGAACACAGAAGCACAACCATGTTTCCAAATTCATGGGGGTGGTGGTGACTACCATTATAGATGTTGGCAACTCAACCAGGGCTATATTTCTGCTTGGCCAATATAGACATGGTCTAGTGCTCTATTTGGGGCAACACACAGACAACCCCTGCCAGGTCCTCATTGTTGCTGTCCCTGCTCAGGTCCACAGTACACTGTCCACAGAAATTAGTACTGTGAATTTACAGTTTACCCACCTATTTACAGTTCATACACTCTAGGTCCATACACCTAGAACCAAACTGTTATCAGAGTAGGCCGATAGTTTGCACTACTCTTCTAGTGATCGGTGTTAGATGTACTAACACAGATTTTGCACATAGAACTGTCTCTTTCCACCCCCACCCCCATGCTCAGCTTTCCTTGTGTAGCTATGTTGTCTGATCTTGTTAGTATGATACGAAGGCTAGTGAATAAGTTAGCATAGTTAGTGGTGGGGGTAGGACAAGTTTCTTTGCTGGGGGGGCAGGAAATATAAATCTGGCTTTGAATGCAGTACCATGAGACCCATACTGGCAGTTGGACAGGAAAAGCTTAGTATGAAGAAGCATACTCATTAAATTCCATACAAACTGATGATTCTCTGCAGTCCATTTTAAGCCAGCCCCCATATGTAGAGCTCAGCTGTCAATATGCAGGAAACTAAAGGTCTCTATGTGTTCTGTACTATAGCTTGTGTTCTGTCTTCTTTTTGCCCTGTTAGTTACAAAAATGAAAGGGAGGGCTGGAACAACCCAGAGACCATGTGAGCCTAGCTTAGGATACATTTTGCATATGCACCTGAGACCACACCTACCACTCCACTTTACTGAGTGTTGTTTCTCTTACATTTTATAGTCCCAGATTCACCTCCTGTCCTCTCTGTTCATAAAACTAAAGTGGATTTAGAGAATAGAATTTTTCTTTAAATTTTTTTTTTTTATAGTACACTACACTTTATAAGCAGGGTTGTCTTAAGAAGGTAGTTCTCTTTGGTTCTGACAAAATAATATTTTGTCACCATTCATCGCCAACAGTGGCCGTGGCTCTGTGGTTATAGATGTGCAGCTGGATCTCCTTCTACCCAGTCTTCAGTGAAGCTTAGGGTTGTTACCTTTTTTTGAGAAACAATATCAGCGTTATGATCTTTTTCTATTAATAGCATTGGCAACACATCCCTTTTTCATCACCCAGGCCAATAAAATTGCAGCACGGGGCCAACCCCAGGCTGGTGGCTATGAGCGATTGTATCTCCTGTGATGTGTAAAGGAATGCCAACAATCACTTGCTTAGCTGGACATCACTGAGTGTGAGTGTTGATTAGATGCTGACTCTCTTTCTTTGTCATCTGATCAAAACAGACGCCTAGTAGAAAGATCATAGAGTCCACAATACACACTGGAATGAGTACAACTGTTGGCTCAAACTACCATATTGAATATTACAGACTTTTTTTTAGAAAAAAGCCCATGTGAATGACAGCTAACTCTTTTAAAGGACTGCTCCTACAATTTAAAATTTAGTTTTACAGATAGAAATGAAAGATACCAGTTTTAATTCTTCTCAAAAACAAGCCGCACTTCCGTGGATAACCACAGATAAAACAGTTTTTTATTTTAATAACAAATACATGCCGTGGAACAACTTCCTATGTGTACAACCTCTCACTCATTTCACCGATCTGGCTTAATCATAGAGGCCCTATGATTAAGCCAGATTGGTGAAACGCGTGAGAGGTTGTACACATGGGAAGTTGTTCTACAGCATGTATTTGTTATTACAAAAAAACAGTTTTAGTTATGGTGATCCACAGAAGTGGTACTTGTTTTTTTTAAAGAATCATGATGTACGGTGGAGTCGAGTCGTTTTTGCCTGCACCTGTGGAGTGATTCATGGTAGGAGGGGGTCTAAGAATTGGAGCAGTGGACTGTCTGCACCATGCCTGCTTTGATGGTCAATTGTAAAAGAGAGCAGGTTAATAAGCTATTATATTAGGGGAGATGTCCACTTCAGAACTGTTTGCTAAAACATTTACAGTGTTAATAAGCAATGAAATTCAGAATAAATATTTACTACCAAGGATTTTTTTACTTTCTAGGACACAAGGCAGGCCTAGAAAGAAAGATTATTGAGCTCTTTAAATGATCAAATACTCTTTAGAAGGTTGGGTTTTCACTAGATAGATAATTTTCTGTACTAATAAATTTGCAGAAATAAACTATTTGCAACAATTTGCAGTTACCCATTCAAAAAAACAGAAAAGCTATACTAAATGACTCAATTTGAAAGGTCTGGTCTCCATGGATGGACTATTTGGGTGC